ATAAAGCCATATTATAACATCAAATGAGATAAAGAATAAAATAAAATATTAAAATATTAATATTTAATATTAATGTCGACGTATTTTTTCAAATTTTTATGATATATTTCCAAATTTATTTTTATTTAAAAGTAAAAACATTATCTTTATCGAAACTACATAAACCGTATTACATCAATAGAGACAAAAAATAAAACAAAATATTAAAATGAAGATGTATCTCGCTGCATTGCGCGAGTACCCTTCTAGTTATGTTATAAAGCGTTTGATCAAAAACTCTTAAAAACTATTTTTTATACGTGAAGTATTATTTCTTGATGCATATTACTTAAAATTCAAGATTACAATATGCGTAAGTACAACTTATTAAAGTTTCATGTTTGAATTCGTATAATTAACTTCAGATAAATATAATCAAATAAAGGATAAACATTTCATTTTAAATATAAAAAACTAAAATATAATTAAAATAATCATTAAATTCTAACAAAATACTTAATTATTTTTATCTTTATAAAAATAAAAAAATGAATTAACGAAATACATAAAAAAATGAGGAATTTTAAATAGTTAGTCTGGTACTAATATCAATATTTGTTTTTATTTTTATGATATCTTCATATTTATATTTTATTCAAAAATAAAAACATTATCGTTTTCTCAAAACCACATAAAAAACCGTATTATAGCATCGACTAAGACAAAAAAAATGAAACACTAAAATCGAAATGTATCGCGTTACATTGTACGAGTATTCTTCTAATAACATATTAATGTTAACAAGAATTAAACTTTAAAAATAAAATCTGAAAGAATGACGTGACATAAATCTGTTAATATTTGACAAATAATATTTTCTTTCATTGAATAAAAAAAATGATATGATAAAAAAATCAATCAAAAGAAAATGAAAATTTTGCAAAAACTTGGAGATGCGGGGGATCGAACCCCGTGCCTCTCGCATGCAAAGCGAGCGCTCTACCATTTGAGCTACATCCCCATTCTTGATACTCTTTCAACTGTGTTGAATAATACCGCACAAATGGAAGATCAGTACGGTAAAACTTGCAGATTTATTAGCTCAGGGAATCGACCATATCACTATCACCATAACCATGGAGCAGGACGGCGTTGGTGCCCTTCGCACTCGATCCAAGGTGGCGCCGGATTGGACCGTCGAGGAATCCCTAATTCTAGTCAACGAGGTCTCTGCTGTGGAAGCTGATTGCCGCGATACCCTTGCTTCCTTTCAGAAATGGAAGATCATCGTCGAGAATTGCAACGCCTTGGGTGTCAATCGCAACCTCAACCAGTGTCGAAGGAAGTGGGATTCTTTGCTCTCCGATTACAAGAAAATCAAACAGTCAGGGTCGAAAAAGGCGAGTTTCAATTCTGATTTGTTTAAGGTGATTGAATGGTACGTTAGGGAATATGAAGGTGGGTGCGATACGGATCCTGATAGTGATCCTGAAGCAGTGCCGGAGCCTGTGCTTGCTTCCATGGTACAATCTGGTATGTAGTTTATATCATTTCATACTCTCTCTCTCTCTCTCTCTCTCTCTCTCTCTGTGTTAAATAAGCTCCACTGCAACTTTGAACGTCAATCAATTGCTAGTTTAGTTTAGAATTGATGGTGAAATTGGGAATACTACCAATAGAGTAATATCTGCTACAAAAATCCTAAAAAGTTCAGATGAAAATTTTTATCAGAAAATACCAGTTTTGACATGAAATATCGCGTGTAGCTTGAAGGCGATTACAAGAACTATGCTGTCATTAGTCTTAGTTCTTGTGGTTCTTCAGATTATACAGTCTTGACTCTGTTTTTAGAGTGCTGTCAGTTAATTCTGATTGCTTGTATATTCAGCCTATTCCTTCTTATGAAAATCCCCATTGGTACCATGGAATTTGAGATTCCCAAATGGAATTGAAGCTTCCTAATTCAAATTTGAACTTATTTTTGCTCCAATTTGAAGGATTCATGGAGTTCCCAATAATTCCTTTTTGTTTGCTTTGTTTGAACAAGTTTGTATCTACATATAAGTTTTCTATATCTGGAAATCCGGGTTGGTGAAGAAATTTTGAAGTGTATACAACTGATACAATATTGCCTTCTATTTCTTGGCTGTAACTAACCAACCTCAGCTGGTTGTTTATATTTCATTCTAAATATATAAAAGAGCTTGTTTTGACCATACTTGGAATGTACAAAAGAGCTTGTTTTGACCATAAGAGTTGTGTTGTTACATGCTATGTGAAATGTTGAAGATCTCTTGGTACCAAAGCCTTCTATGGACATCAAAGTTCTTTGAGTTGGCGTAACCGGGAATGTGTAGTCCACTAAAGCCATCACCATATCCTTAGTATTGGGCAACAAAATGAAATTGTACCTTATAGTTTACATATAAACCGATCCCAACAAATCTCCTACTCTATATAATGCTGAAGGACACATGGTTTTATGTCTTCAAGTTAATAATATTGAATATTATGATCTACCCTCACATGATAGATCTCAATTGTATCATCTTACATACCCAAAAAAAAGGTTCAGCTTGCAATTTCTCTTCGTCACAGAAAGGGGCTTCTTTCAAACATGAAGGTTAATATAGTTATCCTCTTTTTTCTAGAATATTGGATAAAGAATCATTTTGGTTAAGATGTTTTTTTAGTGATGTGTAAACATAGTTTTTTCCAGTGTGCAATTTCTCTTCGTCACGGAAAGGGGCTTCTTCAAAATTTAAGGTTAATATAGTTATCCTCTTTTTTCTAGAATATTGGATAAAGAATCATTTTGGTTAAGATGTTTTTTAGTGAAGTGTAAACATCGTTTATTCCAGATTATAACTGTATTGATGGTTGGAACCAAGGAGATATCTTTTACGTTAAGAAATAACATGGTGCCATTTTTTGTTTTGGAACGGTTATTCTTGTTTAGTTTGCAATCTGCATGCATTTAATGATGTTGACAACGAATTGAAGGTATATGAGACAATCAACTTTTGAATCATTGATTAAATACAAGGGCATACCTTGATCATAAACAACGGAATATTGTGAGATTTGTCGATTATTTCATTACTTTTTGGACAAATTTTCTCTATAGGTATATAATAATTGATAATGAAAGAACTTTGTGTTTACTTATGACATAAAGTGGGGCCTTGTTGCCAGCAGGGAACTTTTTGATGTGCATGGAGAAACCCTTTGAATCTAACTATTCCATTTTCTATGTTTCCAGAATTCAAGATGAATTTAGAGAACTGATGAAGTTCCTCCGACTTTTGTGCTAATCTCATAGCAGAGAAGTGCAGTACTTCTATGTTAAGAATCTTAAAACCAAGGACTTGTTTGTATTCAACTTTCTAAAAAAGCCATATAACATGTTTACATGCAATATGACAAGTTTTTCAGGAGATTCTTCTCTTCAGGTTAATTCCAATTTCAGCTTTTCTTATTGTTTACAAGTCCTTGTGGTTGCCTTCTGAGCTACTTATGTTGGTCATTAGAACTTTGGTTTTGGTGGAAACAATAGAGATCTTGATATGTCTTCTCATATATTAGGGATTGCTCTTCTTCCTAGCCAATAGGCGGTTTAGATTTCTGCTATGGGGTCTGTCTCTTAAAGTTCAAGTCCACAACCCCCAATGAGTGAGAGAACTTTCTTTTTTGATAATTGTGGATGTCTAGACCAGTTTGAATGCAACTCGACTAATCCCATGGGGCCATGAAGACAACAGACAGGAAAATCCCAGTGGGCCCTTCGGAGACTTGAATTGGCGATCTAACGGGAGGGCCCCAAGGCCTAGCCTTTATTTGCCGGTTCTGGCCCTCAAAGTTAGAGTGAGAGAATCTTGATTACCATTTGGAAAATTGTTTTTCATCTCATTTGCTATAAATGCCCGACATTACAGTTGAATTGTTTACTAATATGTGCTATTGCGATACATACCACCTTCTTTTGATCAACATTTTTTGATTTTAAACACAAGATTGCTTGACCGACAGTCGATCATTTCAATTAGATGATGTTTTTAATCAAATGTTGAAACTTTCTTTGGAAAGAAGTACCCTTTTCGGCTTTTCTAAGCAGATTTTCGTTTAGAAACATGTTCTTTATTTTAATTCGATCTCTTGTGCTAAAGAAAGTTCTAAACTGACTCACTTTGTTTCCTTAAAGTAACTTCAGGTTCAAAAAAGCAAAGGTCAAAGATAATACCTCAGAAACGCAGCATAGAGGACACACCAAAGCCAAAGAGACACATCAAAAGCGAAGAGATTAAAGTGGAAGAAAGTTGTTCGGAACCAACAAACGACATTTTGAATGGAAGCATGAGGCCTGAAGAAACCAATCAAGAGCAGCAAGAACAAGCGATGGCTGATACACTCAGAGAAAATGCAGAGCTGATCGAAGCTATCGTGAAAGAGGACTCGATGAACGATGAGTCTACTATCGACTTAACTAGACTTAATGGTGATAAGCTTATCGTTTGCCTTAGCAATCTTGTAGTTGCCCTCGATCAGCTTTCTGAATTCGTTCAATAATCTTGAATGTTTTTTTGTCGAAAGTAAATTGTGATTCATGAAAACTTATGTTTTTTAGGTCTTACAACCTCTGAGCAATGAGTTGGACTCTTAAAGCTTGTAACTTTAGGCCAAGAAAATGGATGTTATATTTATATTAGATGTGTTGAATATTTCATTTTTAAAGCTGTACAAATGCACTCATTCTACAAAGATTTCCGGTTTAACCAATTTGGATACTTTGGCAACAATAAGGCTTGTTTGGTTGATTTTTCATTAAGCTCTGTATGAATAAACAGTATGCATAGATTAATTAGTGTGTATTGGGGAGGTTTTTTGTTTGGAAGTGTTTTTTCAAAGAGGGAATGACCCTGTTTTTTATATAGGACAAGCAGGTAGGGAGAAAACTGGGCAAGCTCCCCTCTACAAGCTTACTAAAGGATTTGACTTAATAGAATCGAACAATACAACAATACATATAATTTGTGCTTAGAATGTGTAGCTAGATTTCTACTCTAGAAACCGAGAAGTCATCACGAGACAAGCATAACAATCTTATTGGAACTTGAAAGAGAAGTGAGTTTGTGAATACGTAATTGAACGTTAAAAGATTGGACTTAAGTCAAGTTTGAACTCGTCATAGCAACGAACATCTTCCTATTGCAAGGATTTTCTCTACCTCGCCGCTAGAAAAAAAAATGAGGCTTGCTCGTTTCCCTAAGCCCTACAAATCCTTGGCTTACAGCTTACCGCCTAAGATGAATCTATTGCCTCCCCCTTCCTCTACAATGAATATTAACCTAAGAACTATAATTTCTATAACACCCGAATTTTTAGTATCCATAATTTCAAGTTTCATATGTATTTTGGCCTTAATATAGGCTTTTAGAAGTATCGTGAATGTTGGTTATTGCATTTGGCAAAAAAATCAACTTTTGATCGATAATTGCACTGCTCGTGCCCGCGCAACTATTTTGCTCGCCCCTGCGAGCGAACCCCAAAAGTGGGCAGAACTATATTTATACTTTGCTCGCGACCACACAGCTATTTTGCTCGCACTCGCAAGCATCTGGGCAGAAAGTTGTTGGGCCTGCAGCTCCTTTAAATCAAATATTCTTCTTCACCAACTCACTTCTCTCTCTCTTGATCTCATTTTTGGTCCAACCTCCTACAAATTGATTTCTTCAAGAGCATTTAAGAGCTTGGCAACTAGAGATTCAAGTCTTGTGGGTTGAAATCCAAGATCTTCATCTTCTTCATCATTCTTCCAATATTGTTGACCAAATGTTGGGGTTTTCTTAAAAACTTATTTGTAAGTTATTCTACCTTTCTAAGCTTTTATACTTGTCAAAATACTTCATTTTGGTCTTTTAGAACATCTCTCTTGGTGTATTCTATATATGTTTGGATTTTGACCAATTTTGGGTATTTTGGGTGATCTGAGATTTTGACTAAGGTTTGTATGAATTTGATTTTGGGAGTTACTCTTGGTGTATTTTAGGTTTGTTTGTAAACTAGATGAAGTTTATAGTGATGGATCCTTGTAGATCTAAAGCCTTCACTTAAGGAATAATAAGATTGGGGTAAAATATAGATTTAGCCTAAATCTAAATCTAGTAAAGTGAGTTCAAGTTGCTTTGTAAAAATTATGTACATGCCAAAAATGTTTTTTCCTTGATGTTTATCAAATATGGTCATTAGTTGACGAGGTTTACATTTTTATAATGTGTTTATAAAACTTGAAAAATACTCGTATTTTGTGATTTTTAGACATTTTCATAACTAAATCACAAGTGTGGGTTGTTTTGATGATTCATCTCATACATGGAGATTGTTTTGGTAGTAATGCATTTTGATGTATTTGGTTTTATAAATTGTTTAGAAAATGCATATTATTATGTTATGATGCATTTTGGAATTGTGAAAGTATGATTTCATTTGGAAAATGGTTTGCATCGACCAATTATGGGTTTTGACTTGATCATATTCTTGAGGTATATGTTTCCATATACAGCAGTTAAGTATATTTTATGGACTTATGTTGGATTTTATTGAGTAATCACATAAGTGTTGATTTATTGAGTTTTTGGTTCGGTTTAGACTCAGATGAGTCTTAGGGACATTTGTCCGATTTAAATTGTTTTATCTTGAGTTTTTGGAGTATATACATCTATGGCATATTTATTTGTAAAATTACATGTTTTGGGTGCATTGGTCATTCATTTGGAGTCATGTAATTTAAACTATAGTGCATTGGATCCATAGGCATGTGAGTCAGTCTTGTGCTAATGGTCGTGTGGGTATTCTGGTGCAAAACTCCGAGACCCTTGTTTCATGACCTTAAAACTCCTCAAGTAGACACTAGAAGGGTTGAGCGTTGAGCTGGAATCCGCAAGAATAGACACTAAGGACAACCGACTCTTGAGGTGAAACTTGCTCTGAGGCTTTTAAAAATTTGCAAGTAGGCACTAGGAGGGTTGAGCCTTAAGGTGTTACCTTAGGGGTAGACACTATGATCTCCGCCGCTTGAGGTGTTACCTTAGGTAGACATATAGTGCGTCAATCCTTGAGGTGGAATTCGCAAGAATAGACACCAAGGACAACCGACTCTTGAGGTGAAACTTGTTAAGGAGTCGTAGGAACATTTAGACTTTAAGTCATGAAGTGTTATACGTTCAACGTTGTACGAGTGGCACACTCACGTGTTCCCATCACTCTCAACGGATACAGGTCTCTCCTGTTGTTAAATTTTGTTTTCGAATAGTGTATTATCCATGTTTTGATATTACTTGGGTTTTGGCAGGTAACCATAATTTACTATTTTGATATATTGGATCCCCTCCAAATGTTAAAGTTTTGAATGAAAAGGTTATATCCATATTTTTGATATTTAGATTTCAATCATATTTCTAATTCGTGTGAGTATTGGGTTTGGTTCCACAGTTGTGAGGTATTTCCATTTAAGTATTTTATCACGAAAACGGAGGTTTTAGGAAAAGATATCACTTTTTATTCTAAATGCATTTCATGTATTAATATTTTAACGTTTTATATAATGGATGAAAACTACTTGAATTCATTAGACGTTAAACCTAACATTTTTCCTTTGTCGGCATGTGCATCAAGTCCTTGTTAGGGTTTGGTCTTAGCAGCACTGTGATGACTGAGTGCTAGTTAGAGGCACGAAGAAGAATTCGCTATCCAGGAGACATCTTCCGTATATTGGAGATAGCGTATATCTTTGCGTTTCAATAAATACGCATCCCTTATAATAGTTTTGTGTAAAGGTTGGGTTCTATTTATTGATGTTTAAAACTTGGATTGTTATTATAGGTAATCAATTATTGACCTTTAGTATGGGATTAAATCCTTATTTGATATATTATGAAAAAAATTAATTAGACGTCATTTTCAAATTTTAATTATTTTTTTGTCACCATCATTATTATTAAATAAATACAACAATTTTCATAATAATAATAATATTTTCGTTTTCTTTAATTCAAGTTACAGTTAGGCATGGCAACGAGGCAGGAATGGGGCGGGTTTTGTAACCCCCGGTCTTGGCCCTGGTTTTTAGTAACGACCCTTTGACCCGACCCTGGTCCCGGCGGGTGCGGGGATTAACCCAGTTTTTGATGACTTTTTCTACTTTTTTTTTCTCCCCTGTTCGGTTGTTCTTGTTTCTGCCTTTTGACATTCTCCCGTTCCCCGACTCGGTCCAAACTATCGAGCTGGAGTTGCCGTTGTGTGTTGGCGACTTGTCGGCCGACTACCGAGGAGGAGAATGAGAGACTGAGATTGAGATCTGCCTCGATGGCTTGATGTTTGATAATTTGATTTCCTTTCCATTTCTTATTAATTGAAGTCCAACAAGCAACAACATTAGCAACTGTGACTAACAGAGGCCCACTATCAATCAGAATTTCCAAGCCCAAAATGAATATTAAATGAATATTAGTATACCGGTACAGGGCGGTTCGGGGGTATAATACCCGACCCCATCCCCAGCCTCGGTTTGAGTCTACCGGGGATCCCTGGCCCTAGGACCTGTTTTAGCGGGGAATCCTCGTCCTCGTTCGAGTCGGATGAGCCGGATTCCAAACAAGGTCGGGACAAATTACAGTTACTATATTTTAATATTCAGTGCTTTGAGATGAGATCTCAGATGTTTAATGAATAGATATAACTTTTTTTTTATAAAAAATATAGAACATTTTGAGTGTCACGCAAATTTTATAAGATAAGTTTTTCTATGACTCAAATTGTTCATCACATAATAAAAGTTGTGAATTATAACGACCGGTATGTTGATGCATTTCATGACGAACAATACTCGAATGTAAGATTGAAGTCTAGATGAACCGAGTGGTCACGCTCTCCTATATATGTCATAACCGATCCTACATCTATCATTACCATTCTATATTAGTTAAAAACCGGTCCTTTAGTCCCCGTTAAGGATGCCCATAACCACTTGAACAAACACGATTGTAATTCGGGTCTATTAAAATTTTCAAATATTAGCACCATTTGAATATAAGAATTATATAACACACTAAAATTGAAAATAGACAGAAAATTTAAAACGTGGGGCAACCGACGACGACAAATTACACAAAATAAAAGTATTCACCCAAAAGGTGACAATGATTATCAGATAGCGAATGACAAAAGTTAAATATCAGAGCGTCTACAGACGTTTATCTGATTCTAACATAACTAGATTTAAGTCGGGGGTTGCATCAACCACCAAAGTTAGCGATCTTCAAAAGTATGGTATCTCTTTATAAAGACATCCCCGCTTGTGCCTCTAAATGGAACTTCAAGCTCTAAATCACTTGCCCTCGGCCCCTCCTTACTATGACTTGCAATAAGGGGGTGTTTGGGATTGCTTATTTGAAATAACTTATGTTTTTCTACAAAAGCACTTATCAACTTATTATAAGTCAGAAGGGTTTAACTTCTTCAAAAACTCTTTATTACCAGTTTGACACCGATATAAGTTATTTATCCAAACATTCAAAAGTGCTTACTACCAGTGTCAAACATGCAGTTGGAAGGACCTTAACATGATGACTTGCACCAACTTTGTCACCACAAACTTATGTCTTTAGTTTATTTTCAAGAAACATAAGGATACAAAACAGTTTGAAAATTTTCAACCCAAACCAACTCATTCAAAAATACAACCCAACTCAACCCTTATTTCATAAGAAAAAGTTGTACTCATATAAATGAATGGAACATATATACACCAATTATTTCATATTCGACCAATTGACTTCAAATTTATATGGATCATCGTGTTCATTCGTAAATATCGATAGAAGCCATAACTTAAAAAAAACCCAACCTTTACTTAAAGCTCAATTGTTCAAACCCTAATCTACAATTATAAATTAACCCTTATCCAAGAACACATGCTCACCTTAGGAAATCCTTGAATTCAATATATCCAAGAACAAATACTTGTCAACATAAATCAAGTAAGAAACAAGTAGAAGCAAACGACATAAGCAACCTATTGAAAAAAATCAGGTAAAAGGAGCAGAATCCGTCGTCCAGAAGCAATATACGAGCATACCTGTCAACACATAAGCAATAACGAGTAGCGTCCAACAAACAGAATCGAATTGGGTAAATACATATGCACTCATGTAGTCGTGTTAAGGGAATAAGGGCGTAGAATCGGAATCAAATTGAGTTTGGTTGACCTAGTTGGATTAAGTTTTGGCTTTGGCTCTAAATTGGACTAATAATATATGCATTTATCTTTTCGAATGTAAATAGGAAAAAAGATATATACATATTTTGGGTTATAAATTATAATGTTGTAAATATTATATATATATATAGACTTGGGATCATATGAGATCAAGGGTTTTTCGTGAGACCCGAAAGACCAATTCTCAACCGTTGGATTATATCTACAATCTGACAATCTGAACATTCATAAATGCCACGAGACTTCTCAATAATCACAAAATTGTTACCGTACAACTTTAGACCATTAGATCATTAGCTTATAAAGTTGATCAATGAACATAAATTGGTCTTACAGGTCTCATGAAAAATCATTGGTCTCACGTGAACCCAACCCTATATATATATATATATATATATATATAGAGAGAGAGAGAGAGAGAGATAGAGGTTGGTTATTATACAACCCTTGACATTTGTGCAACCAATACAACTCAATCTCAACCGTCCATTTCATTTGATTAATATGTGATTTCATAGAATTTTTGAATGTTTCCTAATATAAAGTATTGAACATAATTAATGAAGCATATTCATCTTCTAAAAATACTCAAATCATAATAAATGAACTCCCATCATATCCATAAATATCTCAACTAATTGGGTTGTATTGGTTGTACAAATAGACATGGTTGTATTTGAAATATACCCTATATATATATATATAGAGAGAGAGAGAGAGAGGAGTGATCATATGAAAACCGCCCTCATTTGTGTAAACCGTGCAAACCACCTTCATCTGTCGATTTCATT